TCCAGTCCAGCTCTCTGCTGTGGCCCGGGTTTGCAGTGGAGTATGGCCCAGGTCCTTGGGCCCTGCACCCGCATGGGAGACCAGGAGGAAGCACCTGGTTCCTGGCTTTGGATCAGCGTGGTGTGCCGGCCACAGCACGTGGGTCGCAGCGGCCATTGGGGGTGGGGGTGAACCAGCAGAAAAGGAAGACCTTTCTCTCTGTCTGTCTCTCTCACTGTCCACTCTGCCTGTCAAAAAAAAAAAAAAAAAAAGTGTGGTCTTCTACCACCTACCATACCCTGTAATTCTTAGTGTTGATCCAGTTTGGTCCAAAATGCTCTTGCATCTGAAAACAGATTTCTCTCTGTAATTGTGTCATCATAATCCCTGGGCCACTGTTGATTGCCTCTTTTCTGCTTAGCATTCACAGACCACAAGGGCATAAAAAAAATGCACTTCATTGTCCTTTCAGTGTACTATTTGCAGCTCCTTTTGTTAGTTGCTGGCTTTTAGCACCTAAAGAAATTAATCTCTAAGGCTTTTGATTAATTGCCAGGATGCTGATTATTGATCAACAGTGAGAGCAGAAAATCTAGGTTACGATAGATCCATTTCTCTTGCCATATTGAGGCAGAGCAAGAGCACACATGGATCACTCCTAACCATAGCACATTCCTTGGGAGAGGGATGGGGATTTATCTCAGTAATTTTTTTTTCAAACTCCAGTGCTGCTGTTCCTTCCCTATGGATCAATTCCAAGGAGTGGTAGAGGCCTAGGGCATGAAGTACAAGTTTGAGAATCTGTTGGCATCATCAATGATTAATGTGCTAGGTGCAAACATAGCAGGGCAGATGAGTGGGTCCAGAGAAATAATAACGGAAATTAAGACTTCAAGGTTAGTAATGTAGTTCGGTTCAGCAAACATTTATTGAGAGTACACCAGGTTCCAGGAAAAAGATGAAAAAGACAAGGTCCCTGCCTTTGAATACCTCATAGTGTACTGAAGAGGCCAAATACCAGAATAAATCAGTCCAGTAGATTATCAATAAATGTCCACAAGAAAAGCACCATTTGTGAAGTGGCAAAAAATCACTATACATCGTCTTAGAATTGGTAGTGTTCTCAGTGATGTAAATTGAATATAAACCCCAGAGTGCATGGTTAAAACTGTCTGCCTCTACTTAACCCCCATGAACAGAATCAGAGCTAGAAGGACGTGGAATGTCGCATGTTCGTTCCTTATTGAGACTCTTCAGTGTCTGAATGATCTTTTCATTTATGATCTCAAGGAAGAGTTTTAAGGAAACTAATTCTTGATTTAATTCAGCAGCATTTATTTGGCACTTAGAACTGGAATGGGTGCCCAAACACAGTCATGAGTAAGAGACAGTCCCTGACCTCAAGTGGCTCAAGGTCTGGGAGGACTGAATGGGGACCAACAAGTAAAAAGACACATAAAATGCAAGGTTATAATTAGTGTCTTATAATGGTGCCTAAGTGGACTTGGGAACATGGTGAAGGCTCGTGTATCAGACTGCAGGAGGCAGAGAAACCTTCACAGAACCAATGCTGGAAACAAAGCTTCAGAAGTGAGGCGGGTGCACTCCCAGGAGAAGGCTCCATGGATGCCACTGGCTGTGCAGTGGAGGAGAGGTGTAAGAGCATGGCATTCTCCCGGCCACCCAAACTCAGCTTGTGACTGAGGATGGTGTCTGAAATGGACAGTCAGTGTATCAGGGTAATCCAGGCTCGCCAGATGCACAAGGGTCCAGCCCAGTCCTGTCATCAAGGAACCATGATCAGAGGACTGATGTGACTCACTCAGTGGAGGCATCATTCCACCAGACAATGAATACAGGCATAGGAGGAGGTGTGAAGGTAGTGATTTCAGTGTGTCACTCTCGGGGTGTGTTGAAATGTGCAAGAGAAGTCCAGAAAGTGGATTCCTAGTAAAGAGCTGACCATGTTGGTTTGGCTACAATGTGCAAGAGATACATTAGAGGATTACTAGCATCATAGGTGGGAAAAGAATGTGTTCGAGGAAATGGAGGATGCCCTCATGGCCTGAGGGAGCAAGGGCACTGGTGCTTGAGGTGCAGTGTAAGATGGGAGATTCTGATCATACCCAGGAGCTTCTTCATGACCCTCTGTAGGTATTATCCTGCCTGCCGGTAGGCAGGCGCCACGAGGGCCGGGTTCTTAAGTCTAGGTCTACTCCAAAAGAAAATATTTTTATTGCCGTGGGATTCTCCAGTGAGCTGTGATCTGATGCCAGCAGACTCTCTGCCTCAAAGCCACCTGGCCCTTCTAGAACTCCATCTCAGAATCCATTACAGGGCGTTTGTGGACAATCAACAAGGAGGTGATTTTGTGCACCGTGAGCACAGAGAGAGTTGTCTGGATTTGGAAAAGGCAGCAAAAGCCAGAAAGAGAGGCAGAGGAGTTGAGCAGCCAAGAAAGCAATGTGTTTTGGTCAACACAGTTCACCTGGGAGTCTAATATTTGGATTCAGCCTCAGCAGCGGGACGTGCCTCTTAAGAACTCAGCATGTCCAGGAAATAGCTGAAGAGTCAAAATGCAGCCTTGCCACTTATTGGCCCTGATGTGGTTATTTGTGAAATACAACAAACCAATTGGGAAAATAACTTTGGAAGGAAACTTGATTGATTTTTTTTTCAAAGAAAACAAGAGTTCCTATGAAAATATATCTAAGGCTATTAAAACTACTTTCCTATTTGCTTGTAAGAGAAACTTAGCTTGCAGTTCCATTTTGCAGAAAGACTTTGATTTTTCTTTCCCCACATTTCTGGCTTTTTTTTTTTTTCTTCCAGTTATTCCTATAGGTTGCTTTATACGGTTGAAAAAAAATGGCTGACAAGGCACTCTGACTCATTGTTGTTCTTCTCCTGTTGCTGCTGAGTTCGTAGTTATGTTCCTTTCAGCCTCCAAATATGTAATTTGAAGTAATAAACTGTCTTGCTCAACGCAATTATTTAAAGATTAAATATAGGTTCTTCCAGGTTTTGTGGTTAAACAGAACATTAAGAATTGCCGAAAGTTCAACATTCAGCTTTAGCACTTAAAAACAACATGACCTCCAAGCCTCTCTTCTGTAGAATGGAACTAAATAAAGCTGCTCCTAAAGAGAATGTTTTTGGAGAGAGGATAAGATAATGCTTTATAAACTGTCACACCGTCAGCATGTTCAATACTGATATCACTGTGATTAGATTCACCATAATCAACAAGAAAACTATTTACAGTAAGACTCAGACTCCTTATATCGACCATGAGCTTTCTTCATGTGTGCTCTGTTCATTAATCCTCTGTCTGTTAGTTTTCACAAGTAAGATTAGCATGCACAGAAATGGAAAGGGGTATATTTCCCAGAGAGAAAAAAAATTTATGAATGGTAAAAACATTTAGCCATCGAATATACTTAGCAGGAGCCATCTAAATCATGAAGTCTGCATCACAGTTTTCCTTTTGGTCTGCAACAATGTAAAAGTCACAAATTTCATTTGAGATTGTGTGATAGTATGCTGGGGTTCTGGTAACAAAACACCTAGGCTAGATGGCTTAAACAGTAGAAATTTGTTTTTTAGACTTATGGAATGTCTTTGTTCAGGCAGCTACAACCAGCTACATTGAACTGGGTAATTTACAAACAGAAATTCATTGCCAGTAGTTTTAGAGGCAGGAAAGGCCAAATAAAGGCACCAGCAGAGTCAGCCTCTGGTGAGGTCTTGTTCCCCCTAGATGATGGCACTATCTGTGTCCTTGCAGGGCAAAAGGAACCAACAAATCTGCTTATCCTATTTCACAGAAGCACTGATCCCATTCATAAGGGTTCTGCTCTCATGACCTAATCACCAACTGAAGACCCCACTTAATGCTATTGCACTGGGCATCAAGTTTCAACATAGAAATTTAGGGGTGGGGGTCACATTCAGGTCACAGCACAGAGACCAGGAAACCCAAAGTAAAAGTTCTAGCAGGAACCTGCTGCTGGGAAGGGCTCTCTTTCTGCAGATAGCCATCTTCTTACTGCCACATGGCAGAGGGAGATGGAGATACCTGGTATCTGTTTTTGTTTTGTAAGGATACCAGTTCTATCAAACCAGGGCTCTACCCTTATGACCTCATTCAACCATAATCACTTCTTTAAAGGTTCTATCTCCAGCACATCCAGGGGAGGGTGGTGGAACTTCAACGCCTGAGTTTTGGTGAGACATGATGCAGTTCATAGATAAAAAAAAAAATAGGAAAAAGTGACTAAACCAGGTTGGACGTTGACAGCGTTGTCTATGAGTTAGAAGCACCTATGGGTAGCATAGAATAATAGTTAACACTGCATTTTTTTATGTCTGTTGATGGGGGCCATATTTTAGGTCTACTAACTCCATATCAGCTAGTGTATTTTATAAAATCATTCCTAGTTCCTCTCCCTCTCCACACCACAGTGAGCCCTCACTACTGCTTCAATGTCTGTGTCTCCCATACCGGTTGAAACCTAATCCCCAATGTGATGGTGGAGTCTTTGGGAAGTGGCTAGGTTAGGAGGGAGAGTCTCGTGCATGACACTAGTGCCCACACTAAAGAGACTGGAGTGCTAGTTAGCCGCTTCCATCATGTGAGATCATAGCTTGAAAGTGCTATGAGAAACAGGCTGAGCGCTTCAGTGTTTTGATCTCAGAATTCTCAAACTCTAGAACTGTGAGAAGCAACCTCCTGTTGTATGAAAGTCACCCAGTCTGTTAACTTGCTGTAGCTTCCCAAAGAGACAAAAGAGTTCTGCTTCTCTTCTTCACTTTCTTCAAAGATTTCCATTTCTGGATTGGGAGAACTCCTATTTCTATAGGTAAACCATGAAAGTTTAACATTTGATGTCAACCGTGGCAGTAAGAAAAGTTGAGATGCTTTAGTGTACAGAATGGTCCTTTGTGGAGCGAGCAAGGGGAGAAACACTGAGAATAGTTATTCTTTCTGATTGCATCATGCTTTCTGTTTCCCAACCCAGGTGACTGTTACAGATGGTGGTTCCTCTCCCAAACAGTCCACCATTTGGGTGGTGGTCCAGGTTCTGGATGAAAATGACAACAAGCCCCAGTTTCCAGAGAAGGTGTACCAGATCAAGCTGCCGGAACGTGACCGAAAGAAGAGGGGAGAACCAATTTACAGGGCGTTTGCATTTGATAGAGATGAAGGCCCCAATGCAGAAATCTCCTACAGTATCGTGGATGGCAATGATGATGGAAAGTTCTTTATTGACCCTAAAACAGGCATGGTTTCTTCCAGAAAACAGTTCACAGCAGGGAGTTACGACATCCTGACGGTAAGATCTTCTGAACCCCAGCAACACTGCTGGGCAAAGGGGTTACTTTCTTATTTGTGTTTATTATTTAGAGCAATAAATCTTTAATAATGCAGCCTCAAAGCTGTGGAAGGTGAGTCCAGGTGAGAACTCTTGCCTATTTCTGTGATATTCTTAAATAATGAGACGGTTTCCTTTGGTTGTGTCCTGTCAGCAAACGTACCCTGTTTCCAGTCACATGCTCAGCCACAGTTGCCACCGCATCACGTACTCACCATATTTTCTTCAGTCCTAAATCATTCTCAAGGCACTGAACATAGATGCAAACCAAGGGTACTGGAACAGCAAAGAGATTTATCTCCCGCAGCATAGAACATAGCACTCAGTGTGTCCCCAAGACCTCCCAAAGAACTTTTGTAATTGTTGACAACGTGATAGAACATGAATTTCCCTGTGTAAATTGTGAGGTACAAATCACAACTATGTTTATTCAGCAACAAGTGAAAAAAGCTTGAGTAAAAATAGATTATTTAGAAAATCAAAAATTAAAACTAGCAGAGCCATCATCTCAAATAGAAATGGAGCCACAAAGATTGAGGTGCCCCCAGCTCTAGCCACTTTAGACCTGGAATGCCTCTGCTTCTGGTCATCTTTCCAAGTGATGGGCACTTTCTGGAGCCATGACAACTACCAAGAGTTGTCGATATTCACCATCCTTCTCTATCTCTCCAGCCTCCTCTGCTGTTTGCAGTTACCCCTTTATTATTTTAAAGGATAATCTGCATCCTTTGACTTATCTTTTTTTTTAAATTTTTTTTGACAGGAAGAGTGAACAGTGAGAGAGAGAGACAGAGAGAAAGGTCTTCCTTTTGCCGTTGGTTCACCCTCCAATGGCCGCCGTGGCTGGCACGCTGCGGCCGGTGCGTCGCACTGATCCGAAGCCGGGAGCCAGGTGCTTCTCCTGGTCTCCTATGGGGTGCAGGGCCCAAGCACTTGGGCCATCCTCCACTGCACTCCCGGGCCATGGCAGAGAGCTGGCCTGGAAGAGGGGCAACCGGGACATAATCCGGCACCCCAACCAGGACTAGAACCCGGTGTGCCGGCACCACAAGGCGGAGGAATAGCCTATTGAGCCACGGCGCCGGCCAGACTTATCTTTTCATTGCTAAGGAACTGGAGGTCTTTTCCCTGTTCAGTAACACATCCAGAACAGTAGGCAAAGAAAATAAGATAATGAAATCCCAGTCCAGCTGCTACCCTTGACAGATCTGATGGAACATGTGCTGTTGCAGCTGTGTGAGACCTGCCTTTTGGGAGTCCCTGAGGACTGGATGCACTCTAGAGGATACAGTTGATGTCCTGCCCAGAGCCTTTACCACACTGGTCCATCAGTCCCTCAGCTGCTGTGAGTGTTGGCTGCCAAGGGCTCACAGCTGCCTCCTCCTCTACAGAAGCATCCTTGGCTGATTGTTGACCCAAGAGACTGCACTCTCCCTCCCCTAGCCAAGCAGCACACAACCAATGACTGTGACAACAGCATATTAAGATCCAACTCTGTTGTGCAATTACTGATACAGGGCTCCTCATGACATCCGTAGGACATCACTGCATAGTCCCTAACCCCACCCATCCTGATCATTTTACTCCCTTTCTTTTGAGAGCCCTCTCCCAAAGAAAATCACTTGCACTAATGCTTATCCCAGCTCCTGGGGAACCTGACACAGATGTGTTTCTTTAAGGGTTCTCCCTCCTGCAGGGATTCTCTGGGACAGCATGATAACCTATGAACACATAGCATGAGGCTGCTGTAAGTTGGCTCTGTTTTCAAAAGCTACCACTGCTGGCTTATGTGTCCCCAAATGGTACTTTTTAGATGCAATACTGGGAAATTCTTGCAAAATTTTGACTTGTTTTGATCTTTTGGTTTTCTGTTCATTGGACTTTTTGACTCTCTTTTGAGTCTGGGACACCACAGCCGTTCACCTGGACAGCTGGATGAGGACAGTCGCTGTCCCCAGCCCTTGTATCAATCGACTTAGGAGCAGAAAACACTGACAGCAAAGTCCTTAGAGTCATGCTTCCCATGATGCTGCATCCAGGAACCCAGTTTGCCGCTGAGAAAATGCACTTCACTGCTTTGCAGTTGGCATAGCTGACATCCCTCTAAGGCAGTTAGACCAAGGCTGCTGCCTTTCCCAAGCCTGCCCCCATCACTCTTCTGGGGCCCTGTGTGAGTGGAGTGCTTTTCCAGAATCAAGTAGAAGTAAGATCTGCAAAACATGAACACACACACACACACACACACAAACTATTCACATGTCTTTGACACAGAAATAAGGATTCACAGTGTACTTTATTCCTTCTCAAGTATCAACATCAGGGAGGAGATTCAAGGCCATGCCATAAGGAGTTAGATTAGCTATCCTGCTTGTGTGACTATTCTTCAAGCCCATAAAGCACTGCAAACTGTAAGGGCAACATTTACTCGTCAGAGTTTTCGTATCTATAAATTGGTAGTGATCCAGATTAGCCTCTGATGAACAGGGAGTGAGCATCCCACTTTCCCGACTCAGCTGCCCCCACCCGATCCCTGACCCACTCTCTGCAGGTCTCCACTGTTCTCTTTGCAGACACTGTGATAAGGAGGGACTCTAGTCAACAACATATGACTAACAGATCCAAACTTCCACAGCATCAGCGCTCTAACACATTCTCCTGTGTTCTCTCTGTGTTTGAGTAGATCAAGGCTGTGGACAATGGGCGCCCCCAGAAATCCTCCACGGCCCGCCTTCACATTGAATGGATTAAGAAACCACCTCCTTCACCTATCCCATTGACCTTCGATGAACCATTTTATAACTTCACTGTCATGGAAAGTGACAGAGTAACCGAGATTGTGGGGGTGGTGTCCGTGCAGCCAGCTAACACCCCTCTGTGGTTTGACATAGTTGGTAAGTTTGAATCATCCAGAGCAGTTTGGGGCAATGCAATAATTGACTGTTTGGAGTAACTAGACAACAAATTATTAAATAAATAAAACAACTAATGACTAGTACTAAGATTAAAAATATATAGTGCTGGAATGCAAAAGAGCCAGTAAAATGAATAATCAACCTGTGCTTTCGTTCTGATTCTGTAGCTAAGCTGAACAGAAAGTGCTCTCTGGCTGGATTTTCCATAGTACGTTATGTACTGCAATCTTAATGTCTTTCTGTGTGTCATTTAAATTCTATTGTCACACTTGGCTAATCTCATTTCTAAATGTATTGATGGTACTAGACTTGCTGTCCTTCATTTCTCTCTTTTTCTTCACCTTTTTTCTGCATTCTGTTCTTTTTTTTTTCTGCTCCCGACTGCCCTGCTTCAAGGTGGCAAGCATGCTCGAGAGATGTTCTATATTCTACAGACAGCTTGTGGGCAGAACTGTTCAACAGAAGGTACCCTTAGTGCAAACACATTTGCTAAAATACAGCTATCCAATCTGCCTTTTACGGGTTTTTTTTTTTTTTTTTGAAGCAAATTGAATTACATCTTTCATAACTGCCTGTGACAGGCTGAAGTGCAGACACAGATTTCATACATGCCTCTAACAGCTATTGCATTACTCGTGTCCAATGACTCCTTTGTTTGAGGTTTGGGATTTGGGTTGGGGGTGGGTGGTTCTGATTTTTTTTCTTTGTTTTTGAGGAATGTGGGCTTTTGTTTTGTCTTGATCTTTTTGTAGGTTGGTCTATTTAACTGGGCCTTTTCCACTTGAAAGTGAAATTAAAATGTATCCTAGCCCCTCTGTTTTGCAGCAGCAATGCCACTTATATACCAAAAAGTTCCATCAGGAGAGTCACCTGGCCACTGTCCATACAAGGAAGGGCAGGAAATGGAACATAGATGTATAGCCAGTAACCGTCCCACACAGGCTGAATAGGGAAAGCAGATGGAAGCATGCAGGATAGACCTTGGAAGCCAAACTTGGAATTCCTTGAAAGCAAGCAAGCAAGCACGCCAGGCTGCAAAAGAAAAGGGCAAAACAACACTATTGCCCTCGACAGACCGGCAGCGAGAGGCACTGGAGAGGAAATGAGTGTGGAGGAAGGGAAAACAAAATAGGCTGTTGCTAAGAGGAGAGGGGAAGAGCATGCGCCGCCAGGACCTGACTCTGGATGGAGCTGTGGCCAGCTTCCCACGCTTCTCAGTGGGAGGCAGGGGATCCAAGAGAGAGCTGGTCTGGGGGAATCATTTCCTTCCACACGTCACTGCCTGAATAGGATGGACAGGAACCTGCCTCTCCTCTCAGGAACAGCTGGGTCTGGGGAAAGCATTTAGATAGATTCTATATCTGTTTTAAGGAAACAAAGAAAAAGGATGCTCCATGCACCACCCACACACCTCCCTCTAAGCCATGATAGAGAGCCCTCTGACCTCCCAAAAAGAAAGGGTTTATTTTCTACATTATTTGTATGGGCTGATAGCAACAAGTCTTTATTTAATTAGCATGAATTTCACTATCCATATCCACCACAGTCTTCATACAAGCTTTCAATTCCCTCTTCATTTTCACTAAATGTATTGGAAATGGAAACTCTTCTGACCCATGAAAGGTATCTGCCCTACTGCATCTTCACAGTAATTTTCAGCTTCTTTCCTAGTGCAAAGAAGGGTTTTAATATTCATCGCTCACTTCTTTCTGCAGCCATTTTCACCACCGCCCCATGGAGAGTCACAGAAACTGCATTTCAGGTTCAGTAGGTGTGCCTGTTGCAGGGCCTTCAGCATCGTGTGCGTCGTGTGCATCTTGTGCAATAGTGATTTGTTTAGAATGGCCCAGAGAAGGATGCACTGGAAACCAAGCAGGCAATAGGAGGCTTGGTGTGCACTGAGTAGTCCTCCTGATGAAGACCTCTAGAGCTGTCTCTCCAGTCGGATGCTTCTTTCACAGAGATTTCACTGTAAATTTGGTAACATCCAGCCAAGCTTCTCTTGCAAATTGAACTTACTGGGCCTGATGCCCAAACAGAACATGATTGGATTTCCATCCGTACATGCAGCAAGCAGCATCTTGAAACACCAACTCTTTATTTCACCACAGAAGTAAAACCCTTTCCCCAGATGCTTGTAGTATTGATCTTCTCTCTCTCCCACCAAATCCCCCTTTTGAAAAATCTTTCCATTCTGTTAGCATCATTTTTTTCCTCATTCTGCTGACAACATCTTTCCTCTTCTCTAAATACCTATTGTTTTCTTTATCATATTCAGATGTTTCATTTTCACTTTAAAGATTTCTTGCTTATTTATCTTTGGCTATGGGAACTCTCATAGGTTTCTTCCTTTCTTCTTTATTTCAACATCTTATTTGGCCAAGATCTCGTAAAAGGAACAGAGAGGGAATAATTCCCCTCAGTGCTTAAGATGCAGCCGTGTACTATAGGGAAATGCTAACAATAAGCCCAAGGCTCGCAATGTGAGCCTGGATCTGAAATGAGGTCTCAGGTGAAGTATAGGTACTCATAGGACTCTTGCAAAGAGAATCAAGTTTGCTTCCATTATAGACCAAGTGCCTTAAGACTCCCGTACAGACACTGAGACACGGATAGCCAGCATGTTGGCCCCGTTGCTCAGAGCCTAGAAATGCTAATGAATTCTCAAGGAGGCAGAAAGAGTGATTCTGTATGCTTTTCCCCCGAGGATAATCTCTTCATTTCTACATTTCCACATCTATCCAGCACTTGTCCAGCTGCGTTTCTTTCCTCCTACTATGATAGCAACTCACCAAAACTGTGTCTGGACCTTGCCCTGAGGATCTGCCAGACGTCTTATGCCACCAAAGAGATCGCTGCTCATAATGTTATACAGCTAGACTCTTCAGCTGCCAGGAACAGAAGTGCTACTTGTAACTAGGTTAAGAAAGCTGTAATTAAAAGGAAACATAATAAAGTTCAACTGTTCTGTGTTTAGACAGCCCAGTGCACAGCATGTTCCCTTTCTGTGTAAAATGGAAAAGAAAATGAAGAGAACAGAAATAACCCATAATCCTTTGTGGCTTTATCACATATCTTCACACTTCTCAGGAGACTATGATTTCAACTCAGCAGCTCCTTGATTTACATACTCTCTAATGTGCACACAGTCTGGTTCACAGTTCAGTTCCTATATATTTATTCTGATGGCAAATTTTGAATTGTAAAGGCTGCCATTATGACACACTTCAAACCATTCCTCTTTACCTACAGTTGCTTGGGGGCTGCTGCAGCTGTTTTTGTTGGTTTGTTTTTAGTTTTTCACTTGAGTTTAGACTACAAAAATGGTTTTCTTTGCAGATAGTAAGCACCTAACATGTCTTTATTTGACTTGTCTGGTGATTTGAAAGGAGAAAGACTGTTCTGTGGGAATAATTCTGATGATGACTGCTAGCACACAGCAATTCCTCTGGCAGGAATATCTTTCTGTGCTGCAGATAACCTCAAGGAAATCTTGGCCCTTGGTTTATCACAGGTCCCTGCAGACTTTGGGCTCCTGGCTGCTCCTGCTCATAAGTCCATGCCTTCCTTCTTGAGCTCCGTTCCCACAGGAGCCATTCCTTATTTGGGGTTGAATCAAATAGGCTAGTTAAACTCTCTGATGGCGATAGCAATGGCTTTGTCATCCAACTAGAGTTTGGGCATCTCTGAGTCTTCCCTAAGCAGGAAGCCATACTTGTTCATCACAAAACTCTTAACTGCCCGTCCTAAAAGAAGCCACATCCACTTTCAATACACCTGTTATTCCATCAGGGTGACTGTTACTCAGAGTCATTCAGCTGATGTCCAAATTTCATTTCTCCCATTCTGCCATCTTTTGCTAATTTGATGCCTAGTAGGCCTCTTGTTGTCTGCATAACAACTATCTAGTCCATAGGAGCACACCTGAAGAGCCTTTAAGGAAATAATAAAAAACCCTAGAAGTAATTCATGCATTAATTGTTTTAAGAAACTGAAAACTAGATTCTAGTAAGGACTTTATAGAGCCTTCCTACCACTGTTTCCTCACCTCTTTGTGCCACCTGCCTTCCATGTAAATATCTTTTTCAGCCCTGAGTGCTTGCTTCACTCTAAGAGAGATTATTCATGATCAAACCATAACTGGTATTAACAGTGTTCTTTTAAGTTTGGTGTACATGCCGAACTAGAATGAACAGCTTGTGTATGACTCCCTTAATTCATTGAGATTCAGCAGCCTAGTGTTTTAGAAGCTTCTTGCATAACACTTTTCCCACGGTGACTACTACATTTGGGTTGTTATTTTTATAATGACACGTGGAGTGGGATGGAGTCATATGCTAGAAGAACCAGAAGCTTCCCCAGGGGGAAGCTGTGGGATTTTTCACTATTGGATCTCTTAATAGAGATACCCTGGTGCTTCACATCCACCTTTAAAGAAAAAACTTGACCAAATTGTGGCCCAGTACCCTGCTGCCCAGCTCAGTCAAGCAGTGGCTGCTGGCTCAAAGTATCTTCATTCACGTCCCATTTTTAACGTCTTTTATCAGACTTTCCTATTTGCTATTTTAGCTTTGGAACCCGGTAGAAATCCAGTGTACCACTTCTGCTTTTTGTTTACTCTAGGGCACCTGCCTTGACCAACAATGGTCAAAGGGAAATGTCCCTGATGTGAATTATCTGTTATGTGGGCTGTTCACAACCTCGCTTTTAACCATCTCTGCCGCATCCCCCTGCAGCAATGCTCAGGCTGTGACTTTTCTAATTCCCCACCTTGTTGACAGTCAGACCAGCTCGGCAGTGCCCTCCCTTCTCCTCGCCTTTTGTTGAAGCTCACGCTGCTGCACCAAATACACTCTGGCTTTGCATGTTCTGTTACTGGCTCTGAGGAAGCACACCTTGTTTAAATGGAACGCTGCTAGTGAAAAGGGACTCCTTGCATTTGATATTCTCACCCGGGATGATTCGGACATGGTTTCCTCTGAAAATGAAATCACCTTTCAGGCTAAAAGGGAACCTGAAAAATGAGACCTCGGGGAGAGATACTGAGTCCTTTATGAAATGGGATGCTTAAGTGGTAGGTTATTAAATTGCGGAAGGGTTGATGGTGAACTGCTGGTCTAGATTCTGTATCCCTTGTCAGAAATTCATTTTGAGGCTTAGGGAAGTTTTGTTTTACATGAAATCTTGGTTTAACTAGGAGCAAATGTGCTGGAAATGAGTGTCTATCAGAGACTGCTAGCTGTACTGATAGACTAAAAGATATCCCATGGCTCACTCCCCAACACACTTCAACTCTGCTTTTCCAACAGTCTATCTCTCCTACTCCTTTAGATCTTTCTATGGTGAATGAGGGAGACAGTCACACAAATACAGTTACATACCCACATACCTGCACACACACACACACACACACCCCTCAGAGATGACTGTGAAATATGACAATCCCAAAACTGACCAAAAACTGTATTTAATATGAAGAAAGCTTAAGAAGAACCACAAAATCTGCATTTCCTATATAAATTTATGCCACTGAGCAGGTGAAATGGTTGTGTCCTTTATATCAAGCCCTCAGGAAAACACAAGTCTCAGCCAGTGAGAGCACACAGGAGCAGCCCAGTTAAGCAGGAACTGAGACTGGAAACTTATGCTTGCATGTTCTCTAAATGTTATTGTCATATACTTTAGACTCTAACAAACTAAGGTTTTGTAGTTATAATTTCCATTTTATCTTGATCTACAAATACTGACCTTCTAAAATAATTGACAGAGGAGGAAGACTCCTTTCCCCCACGTGCCCTTCCACCAAGAAAATAAGCCGTGCTCAGATTTAAGACAGTAAACAACTTGAAGAAAACATTCTAAAGGTGATTTAGAATGTGATTAAATACCCATCAGAAGCAGTGTGACAAGATGTATTTTATCATTCCTTTGCGTCCTGTGATGCAATTTTAAGACCTTTCTTTGACCCTCTCCATGGAAAAGTGTTGTTGTTTTTTTTTTTTTTAAGGGGGATTGTTTTTGTTTTATTTTTTCACTTTGCAGAATATACCACTTGATAGAAAATGGTTTTACTCTGCTCATTAAGATGGTTATTCTAGACACTGGGACCAGCCTTCCATGTTGATTTCACGTGGCTATTAACATGAAGCATTCCCTTTGAATGAGAAACAGTGACCTTAAGGTTGTTTCCCTTTTTTCCTGGATATCACCTCATTTTTCCTTATCCTAGTCTTCAGAAGATTTTTTTGGATTTAACTTTAGTGCTTCTGAGTAAATCAATTAAAGATATTAATTGGAAGATGAGTCTCTTTTTAGATGAAATTTCTGAAATAATATGTCATCTCCAAGCAATTCTCTGGTATCCCTGTATCTCCATAACTTTAATTAAATGTCAAGGGCAATTATGTTCTCTCCAGCAATTAAATAATTTTAAGTGTATATGACAGCTGCAAGCAATAAGTATCTGAGATATATAACCACTCTTTTTAAAAGTAAACCATATTATTTACTTTATGTCACTATACATCAAATGCTAGTAATTCAGGTAAATTTCTCCTTTCCCTTAAATCAGCTGCCCATCTATAGTTGTAATATCACAAAAATGTATTGTTCATTGATCAACAAAATGAAATGCAAAGATTGTAGGATAAAAGTCAAGATTTCTAAAATATAAAATCAATAAATGCATTACCCCACATACTGTAGTTAAATTACTCTCCACAACCAAAATTAGTTGATTCCATGATATTTCAGACTACATAAATAGAGCTTGTAAATATAAACCGATGTTTAATTAAAATTTTTCAAACATTTATATCATCTTCTGTCCCTCTTAACATCTGTATTTTGGAAATACCTTAAACTGTACCTTGATTCACCAGAATGGAGACATCAGCAGTAATTTCAACAATGCCTATGTTGTTCTAGGCACACCATCCACAGACTGTGTGTTCTCTCTGGTGGAGGGAGAAGAAAGTAAAGTGTTCTAAACTTTATATAAATTGTTCCATACACTGATGTTACACAAGCTGATGCCTTCCTCTACTTCATTCTCAATTCCATTTTGTGAGTCTCCCATAAGCTTCCTACATTTTTTAGGAGAAAAATAATTCCCAGTCAGGAGGGAAGGAAAATTTCTGTTAATATCTCAGCTTGCCAAAGTAGAATTTTTAATATGAAAGTCAGCACTTTTTTGCTTTTACCTATTTTCTAATATTTATGGTCTTATTTCTGACGCTCACTTAAGGGAATCTGAACTCTACCAGCCAAGTGTTTACCATCAGTCCAGGAATAGTGTCTATTCATTGTTATTGATAATAATTAGACTGTTTGCTTAGAATTTAATCTACTTTTGAGAAAAACGAGAGGATCTACAGATTCTTAGCACAGATGCCACAGGGGTGGAAGGGTCATTAGCTTTCTGAATAATTTATGGAGTCAGTTTATGCTTCACTACCCTAACATTACTGCTGAGGTTTTCCTTTGCAATGCATTCTTTTTTTGGAGACATTTGTTATGCACTGTAGAGGCTGTGTTTTGAAATATGAATTAAGTTAGAAATAAAGAAGTCCCATTTCAGATGTACAAAACTGAGCCATAGGGATGCCTGTCAAAAATATTTCTATGTGAGAGACCCTTTTAAAGATTATGCTCAGCACATGTAATAATTTCTCAGATATGCTAATTTCATGTTGTTTCTGTGAAATCAGGGGGGAATTTTGACAGCTCTTTTGACGCAGAGAAAGGTGTTGGGACAATTGTCATCGCAAAACCTTTGGACGCAGAGCAGAGGTCTCTCTATAACATGAGCGTGGAAGTCACCGATGGGACAAATGTTGCTGTCACTCAGGTGAGATGTTAAATTACTACTCGGCCATAAAAAAAAAAAAAGAATGAAATCCTATTTTTTGCAACAAAATGGATGCAGTTAAGCTTAGTGAAATAAGCCATTCCCAAAAAGACAAATATCATCCTTTGTCTCTGATATGTGGTAGTTAATATACAATACAAAAAAATGTATAGGAATGAAACAGACATCTTTAGATTTAATTGTTGTTTTTAGCCCTTGTTTATACTCCCGTGGAACTGTTGTCTTGCCATTTTTTTCTTGTTAAATATTATGGCTAGTGGTGCATTAAACCTATGATTTTAGGGTAGACTGAAATTATGAAAAACTCATTTGAGTGAACAATCTAGGAAAAGGATTCTCTCAATGGTATTAGATAACTTAAGTTACCTCTTTTCTTAATTTGCTCATGCGTGGAAGAGTGATACACATATTCTTCCTGAGCATTTATTATAGATAAATCTCTGACAACACAGTCAACTTCCCTTGAATTTGTAAAGATGAAGATGACCATACCATCTGGGTAAACACTCTGGTATTCTTCACCTCCTTAGATTTTTTTTTTCCTTAAGACTCTATTTATTTATTTGAGAGGGTTACCTAGAGAGGGAGAGACACACAGAGATCTTGCATTTGTTGGATCACTTTCCAAATGGCTGCACTGGTCAGGTATGGGCCAGGCCAAAACCAGAAGCCAAGAGCTTCATCTGGGTCACTCATGTGGGTAGCAGGGGCCCAAGCACTTGGGCCATCTTCCATTGCTTTCAGAGGCTCATTAGTAGGGAACTGGATTGGAAGTGGAGCAGCTGGGACACGAACTGGCACCCATATGGGATGCAGGTGTCACAGATGGGGGGTTAACTTGCTATGCCACAATACTAGCCCCTCCCAGATTTTTTTATTCACAGGAAGTTAAAGCTATAGGATACCCAAGGGTCCAGATTTACTTTGCACAATGAGATCAGCTAAGAAATATGCCCAAGGTCACACAGCCTTAATAAAGAGCAAGAACCAGGATCCAGGTGCCCTGACTCCTCCCATTCCAGCCTCTACACCAGTGGTTCCTTAGTTGTAGGGGGAGGTTAGAAACACTAATGGCTTTTGTCTCTATCCCCAGAAATACTAATCACTTGCAACCAGGGTTGATGACTGCCCTTTATACTCTGCAACTTACATACATATAAAATGCAAGGAGAGGGAAAAAGAGAAAAATCTCTGGGCTTTTCACATGGCTCAGTACATCTTCCTGAGTGATACTAACACAATGTTAGTATTACTATGGGGCAGACTTGCTCTAAATATGAGAAGATTTTGTTTTATTCTTAAGCACCAGAAACCTAGACCAGTCATGAGAGCAAGCCAATATATAAGTGTGTGTTGTAACCCTTCTCCTCTTTCCTGCTATTCCTACATCTCCAAACTAACTGACCAAGGCACTTTTCTCTACTGAGTGTATGTGTCCTCAGATACTTTCTCAACACAATGCTTCAGGTAATGAGAATGAATTTTTTGCCAACCCTGAAGCAAGCATTGATTTATTTTAAATAGAGTGTAAGCTTCCCTGACTATGGTTTTTAAAGGGGGAGAGGTGAGCATTTCATATTTTTGTTGAGCCAACCACCTCATTTCAGTCTATTCATAAGCATAAAATATTAGTATTTGAAAGAAGCAATAGGGTTAATTGTAGTACAACCCTTTATTTTTTATTAGAGTAAATCCCAGAAAGGGGAGGTGACTTACACAGGATAAGACAACTCGTATGTGACCATTTCTGATCCTGCAAGCTGTGTCCTTTCCCAGAAGCTTGATAAGGCAAGCAGTGTTGATAACAGGACTCCATTTGCCTTACATGATCCTGCTTACTCCTGTTGCACTGGCATGATTATTAGTAATACTCCATCCACTAACAAAAGTACAGGCAACCTACTTAAACCACATTAATCAGGGTGCTTTCAAGACTAAAATATAGACACATGGTAGGATCCAGGCTGAGGACCAGTGGAAAGCACACAATTTAAAACTATACCCAAAGACTAACGCAAAGCAACCCACTTGCTGTATATCCAAGTCTTTAGTGCCAATTCACTTTAAGCATGAATTTAAATTAGTTTCTTAAATTAATCCTATCTTAGAATATCCAACATAGACTTTTTAGTGCCCCTTAAAAATATAAGATACAGAGGCCAGCACTATGGTGTAGCAGATAAAACCACTGCCTGCATACCCGCATCCTGTATAGATGCCTGATCAAGTCACAGATGTCCACTTATGATCCAACTTACCAAGTTACTGGGAAAGCAGTGGAAGATGACCCAAGTCCTTGGGCCCTTGCATCCACATAGAAGACCTGGAAGAAGCTCTTGGCTTCAGGCTTTGGATCATTCCAGCTCCAGCCATTGCAGCCAATCGGAGAGTGAATCAGCAGATGGAGGATACCACCCCCACCCCTTGTGTCTCTAACTCTGCCTTTCAAATAAATAAATATTTTTTAAAATTACAAGATATATAGCAGTAAAAATGGAATTAAAATATGTTTATTTTAGTTCAAAGACTTGAAATCCATGCAGTTGTTTTTCATAATGCATTTCCCAAGAACTTTTTGATGATTCCTCACATTTTAATAAAATGTAAATAAAGCATTGAACCATATTAATTATCAGACTTTTCTCCAGAGTTTTATAGCAGTGGAATTAAATGGTTTTAAGTGTGCCTAGAATGTTATAGATACTCAATAAATACTTTTAGAATGAGTAACTGAATAGTAGATATTACACATTCAGCACAATATATGTGGCTAGTATGCTGGATCTCCAAAGTGCACACTGATTCACATTCATCAGAAAAGGGAATAGGGGAAGGAAGGGAGCAGGCATTATAGCACAGTGGGTTAAGCCACCACTTGGGATCCCCCCATCCCACAACAGAGCACTGTTTTGAGTTCTGGCTCCTACACTTCCAATCCACCTTCTCCCTAGTGAGCCTGGGAAGGCAGCAGATGATGGCCCATGTTCTTGTGTCCCTGCCACCCATGTGGGAGACCCAGTGAAATTCTAGATTGTTGGCATCAGAATTGGGGAGTCAATCAGTAGACAGAAATCTCTGTGTCTCCTTCTCTCTCTGGCCCTTTGCCTTTCAAATAAATAAATGAATCTTTTAAAAATTATTAGTGAAGCTTTTGTTTTAGAATTTCATTAGGGCCAGATGAGAAATAACTTACCAGTGTTTATTCTACCAATAGTTTGGGAGTTCATCCCATGTCTTAGGAGTTTCGCTGGGTACCTGAGGTTGCAATGATCCGATGTTGAATTCAGATGACTGATATTACTCATTTAAAAAATAATATAAAGCATATATTACAAGACTTGAATGTAAATATGTTTGAATTCCATTCTTGTTGATTTTCTGTCAGACTAATTTAGAGTTATCTCCAGAGCAGTTCAGAAGAAGTTTGAGCATTGGGATGAACTTGAAGTTCCCTCTTGGCAGAGACAAGCTAAGGAGGTTAATAAAAAGTGTTAAGAGATATTCTTTAGAAAAACATCAAAGTCACTGTGTGTCCCTAGAGTCATAACCTTCTTAAGTGGGAACCAGCAGCTTCCAAAGTAAAAATTTTATGTCATCGTCATTACCATCAAACTTAACTGTGTCTATTGAGCTGTGTTAAGACCTGACTTCCACAGCAACCTCTGAGAACCCGGGCATCTCCCACATTTTCCCAAGCTTCTCAAACTGTGGTGACAGGAATAGTTCTTTGAATTAGTCAAAACCCTTGGTGTCAAGGACATTTTCACAAAAAGACGCTTTTCGAAATAAAAGGCATTCTGGATTTCCAGTCCATGACCCTAGACAACTTAATGATTTCACCATCAAACAGAAACTTTTCACCATGTAGCTAAATAAATGTCCTGTAGCCCAAAAACACCTGTTCAGTGTGCCTTTGGGAACTTTTATCTACTTTGTTCATTTAGAAACATAAAAATGGTATGACACGGGCTTCAAATCAGCCATAAACAATATGTTGAATTTTACTTCACAAATGTCAAATAAATCAGAACCTCCGGGATTCAGTGTCTACATGAAAGCCTTGCCTTCATCTTCAGTTTGGGCCTGTTCTCCCAACTCTCCCAGGGTTCCTGTGCCTCAGAGCTATAATATCTGATGACGAATAAACATCCTTTTCTTTCCTAAGATTCCCTAGTGTGGCTACAGAATGTAAAGAGGCCTTGTGAATTTCAAGTTATAAAGATTCAGAACAACTACATGCAAGAGCAAAGCATCTCAACATTTACACAACCTCTGGGCAAGATGAGCAAGGGCCTCACATAAAGTAGAGAGTATATTGTGAGGGGTATGATTGTAGTTTTTATAATACAGTATTTGACCTTGTGGGCTTTGAAGTAGATAAATCTGTGTTCCAATCCTGACTCTGCCATTCTGAGTCACCTCAAGCAAGTCACTTAATTTCTCTGCATCTCACACTGCTTATCTGTAAAATGGGGGCACCAAACCTGTGTCTTTAGTGTTGTGATGAAAATGACCTGAGTTTATGCGTGCAGAGTATTAGCACGAGGTCTAAATGTAGTCAGTACTTAGATTCACCATGATAATGAAATACCTGAGGCAGGCTAGCCTTATAAAAGATAGCAGTACGTTTTGCTTTATGATTCTGGAGGTTCACAGTCCAAGACTAGGTGGGTTCATTGTTCACTTCTGGTGATGGAGTTCTTGCTGGCAGAGTGTTGAGGTCGCTCAGGGCATCATGTGGGAAGAGGGAGCCCGTGTTTCTGTCTGTCTATGTCTTTTATTATAAAGCTAACAGAATTCAATCATGGGGGCTCTACCCTAATGACTCAATCCCATCTAATTACTTCCCAAATGCTCCACTTCACACACTTTATAATCAGATTCACATCCTTAGTCTGAGCTGCTGTAACGTAGAGATTTGCCCTACAGGTTGTTGTGAGCAATAAAGGAGTACCTGAGACAGAGCTCTGATGAGGAGG